GAAAGAGTTTTTCCTAATATCCAACCTAGACCTGCCCCGTTTTTACTTGAGCCCATTGCTCCTTGTTCTGCCATCTGCCCCCACTGAGAACAGCCTCTCTCCTTCCTATTCGAAACCTCCCTTCAGGAAGGCTGCTCTCAAATCCCCCCTCGCTCTTCTCTTTTGCAGAGTCAACAAGCCCAAATCCCTCAGCCTCTCCTCGTAGGTCATGTGCTCCAGCCGCCTCAGCATTTTGGTCGCCCGCTGCTGGACCCTCTCCAGTGCGTCCTCATCCTTTCCATAGCGAGACACATTTACAGCCCCCAGTCCTGGCTCTCCGTGTTCTGGGCTGTTCTTTAGCTCTAATTCATCCCTCAGTGTCTTCTCAGAGCCCAGGAAGCAGTGGAAGTGTTGATAATGCTGCTAGACAATATTGACCTCCCGTGGTTCGGCAAATTCTCTGGTTTGGCACTGGCCAGCTCCTGAAAGTGCCGAACTAGAGGGGTTCAACCTGTATTAGAAGTAGAAAGGAGGGGGGGAAAGGCAAAATTACCCTTGTGGACAACTTTCCTTGTTTTTTTAACCTTGGCTGCTGCTCTTCATGCTGCATGTGGCAGAGGGGGCGGGTGTTGGTTACCTGACCCACGGTTCAAAACCTCGCGCTCCCCACACAGTCCCTGCAGCAGCAGAGAGCACCCAACAGACCGGAGCATGTGGGCAGCGGGTAATGTAGGCTGCCCCGCTTCACGGCACTGCCTACACTGCCCCGCTTCACTGCCCACACACGGCAGCCCAGCTCCTCTGTGGCCGGGCAAGGCTGGGGTCACGCTGGGCGGCAGTCTCAGCCCTCCAGTTGTGTCAGGTGGGGCTTGGCTGGGGGGTGGGGGCCAAGGTTTTGAAGGGGCATGGTTTCGGGGAAGGGGTGTGGCTTTGGGTGGAAGGGGCGGGGCTTCGGCTGCCTTCCTAGTTGGGCCTTCACCCGCCACCCGCGCCGGAGCTGCTGCCCTTCTGAAACCTTCCCGTGAAGTTTCCATCCATCTGGATAATATGTATTGTTCTGTCGACAGCCCGAATGCATTTGTTGCTTTGGTGGTTGAGTGAGACTTACGTGAGCTCCTGAAAACCTTGTACGGCTCCGGGCTGCTGGGGGGTAATTTTCTTTCAGCCCAGGAATTTAATAGGCCGCGTCTAGGCCTCTTTATTCCCCCGTTCACGTCAATGGCGAATGGGACGTTTTCCATGGTTCCGTGGTTTTCCTGGGTTGCTCTTGAAAGGCGACGTTACCGCTGGCCACGGTGTTGCTGTTGGCAGTTGGCAGCACATGCTAACGCTGAGGTGCAAACGTTAGGAAGGTTTGTTCTTTCTTCTTCCTCACTTCTAGTCCGAGACGTACCAAGAGGATATTTACCCGATGACGCCAGGCACGGAACCAGCCCTGACCCCGGACGAATGGCTGAGCGGAATGAACAGAGGTACCACAATGAACCCTGCACGCGCGTTTACCGTAAACGTAAGCAGGACTGACCTCTGGCCCGTCCTGTGAAACGCATCTAAATCTACACACATGCCCCCGGGGCGCTTTCCATACTTTCCGACGGCCTCCTAGCGACGGGGTGGTGGGCGCATCGGTCCTGCGTGTACGGATGTAACCGGTGGAGCCCTACTTGAGCTGGTAAGCTTTGCATGGAGTGGGGAGGGGGAAGAAGGCCACTGAATGTTAGAAGCTCCTTCTGCAAGTCAATGGATCTATATTATGGGAGGGCCTCGTTGCACCAATTGAAAATACAGAAAATGTAGGCTTGGCGTATGCATGGGGACAAGTGAATGTGAGAGAGAATAAAATCAAGCTCGTTAACGTGAACTGAAGCACCACGTAGGCTGTGTCTGCCCCAGGTGCTGGTCTCTCTAGCACTGCATTACCTACTCAGTGGTCCTTAGATAGGGGGTGGGCAATCGTTTTTCGGGGGGGCGTGTTTTCCAGGATTTTGGTAAGTGGTCAAGGGCTGCACTTCTATGGAGGGGCTGTGGGGTCTGGGATGGAGGGTGGGTGAAGCAGGGAGCTTGGGGTAGGGGAAGGGATTGGGGTGCAGGAGAGGGTGTGGAGTTTGGAAGAAGGAGGGGGTTGTGACCTGGGCCGGGGCCTGGGGAGCAGGGTCTGCGGGGGGGGG